TAAAATCTCTTGTTTTTATATAATCCAAATTCTGAATCCAGCATTACTCCGTCTAGAGGAATGCCAATTTGCAATGATCCTTCAAACAAAATGATAGACAATTATCCACTTCCTATCCTCTGTCAATTTACTAACTTAGTGAATTAAAGCGAATTAAGTATAGGAAACAATGATATCTCAGAGAGTTGTTTACATTTGCGTCAAAACAATTCTGATGTTTTCTACATCTTGCCTCCCATATTATTCCAAAATAATTATAAATGGGACTCATTGTTCATGCGTTTAGGGCCAACCATGTGTATTCGCAGAGCTGGCATAGTGTTCAACAAGTAAATTTTTTTTTAATTTCACCATTTCACCTTATATTGCCCAATGCTGTAGGCAACACCTTAGTTTAGACTTCAGGGTTTCTGACTTCGTTTTCGCAACCTGGTCGTATTGCCAAAGAATCATTGTTGGACGAACATCGTCTGAGGTCCTACACTATAATAGTTATGATTCTTCCAAGCGTTTGACTGTAGACTTAGCACCTTCCCAAAACGTTTGATGAGTCTTAATGTGGTGCCAAGAATGGCAAGACTCACTGATGATGCTGGCGAAACGTCTCAGAATGTATCGAGTCTACGGCCCGACTGGAAATTATCATGTTACTATGGGCTCTGCATAATGTGTATTTCTATAGGTCGCCCTGACAACACGACCAAGTTTCTAAAACAAGGTCAGATTACTTCAAAAATGCGAAAGTAGACTCGAACCAAAATAGAGACCACAACATCTTGGTTTTCATATGTAAGGCCAGGGTTTATTTTGAGTCCTTAGCGATAATCCATTGTATTTAAATGTCATCTAAAGTCCATATCATGAAAACAACTGCTCATATTTTGTCTATCCCCAACCCGTCACTTCGGTCCCTCACGATATTAGTAACTCTCCAATACCGAAGTGGTACCTCTAAATGGCCTCCAAGTTTTGCGTTAACCTTCAACTCTTAGTCCTCTCCGAGAAACGGTTGGTAAAACGGAAGTTCTGTCAATAATTCCTACTTGCTGTCCTTACTCTTAGGCAACTTAGAAGTAAAGCCCTTTTAAAGAGCCTCCTCGTTGGTAACGTTGCTGTTTTTCTTGTTAACGACTGCCTTTAACTTTGCCTGACAGGCTCACATTCCTAAGCGTTTTATCATGTTTATATGGTACCTGTTTAAGAACACGATTATCAAACCCATTAAAAATTGCTTGAAATGTTAAAAAGTCACTGATGATGAATATCGTAATCCGGTTTTTACTTCCGTCAAGGAATGCAATTTGCCAATATTTTCTTAAGACCCATTAATATCCGAAGTCTGAGGTCGACTCTAAGCAATTGTTTAGCGCTATTAAGCGAATTCGTTCCGTAAATCAAATAAAACTCAGGAATAATTCTGCGAAATATTGTTGACCTACCTGTTCAGTAATTTCCTGGTCTTGGTGCAAAGTGATGAATCTCGAAAGGTTTTATAACCGAGCCCACATCGTAGATATAAAGAAAAGTTGTTGGTTTGTGAAGAATCCCTCACTAAATTGTTGCTAACTTACGATTCATTGCTGTTATACAGACCTCCTCAGAAGCCGAAAGAGCGCATTACTCAAGAGGCTAGACTTATGCCGACGAGTGTGTGTGTATTTGTGTGTATGTGTGTATGTAAAGACATACATACCACTGATGGCTTGAATAACGCCCGTGTCGCTGGGTCCTCTTATTCCTGCGCCTCTGTAGGCCGCTAGGGCTGTACTCGGGCCCCTTCTAGAAAAAGCTTGAGGTCTTGCAAAGTTGGGGCTCTTCTTGTTCATCAACGCCTCAGCCGTCGTCGTTGCAAGCCACGAAGGCTGACCGCGTAGCGGAAGAACCTGGGCTGCTTTGGCTCTAGCTCGTCTCTTGCAGCGTCGCACCTTCCACATTGCCTCTCCTTCATTGTCATCCTCCTTGCACCTCTCCTCTTCCTCCTCTTCGTTCTCCTCCTCCTCCTCCTTCTCTTGCTCCTCCTCCTCCTCCTGCTCTTCCTCCTCCTCGTCTCCGTCCGCCTCTACTTCAGCCTCTTGTCCAACCAGCCAGTTCGAGTCGAGTCCCTCACTCGCCGCATTGCTTCTCTGACTCCTCGTCTTCTCGGCATACACAAAATCCCCATCTTCTGTACCTCTTCCGTCTACGCCTCGGCGTCTCAAACCCCGTCCTCCTCCAAAGAGGTGATCTTTTGCGTCATCGCCATGACTTTGGGTCTGCGACCTCGTCACAGCTTCATTAGCTGCATTCAAGAGGAAGTCGATGATTTCGTCTTGAACAACCGCGGGTGGTAACTCTTCAATCAGACAGCCCATGCAGCGCACTGCGGCACACTGGAGCTGAAAATGATAAAAGATTGTTGTAAATATATCACTCGAGACATAAAGAGGGACCGTTCATCCCCCCGAAATTCAGAAATTTTTATAAATTTCCCCGATATCTCAGGCAGCATCGTCTGCGATGAGTCGGGGTCAGATGCTATGGATGACCTGTTCATCGAAGTTGTCGACCAAATATCTGGAAATGTATATGGTCGACAGACCACTGCTAGAAGAAGGCATGACGACACATTCGAAAGCCCCTCCGTAAAAACCAAAAGTTGCGAAAACGAAAATAAACCAACTTTTTATAGCAAAAAGAGTCCATATCCAAGCTGAATACACGTCATCTTGGTATGCATGCTACTATTGAAATTGAAAATGTGTTCGTTATTACAAAAATGGCGTTGGATGGGGAGGCTGAGAAGCAGGTGCAGGCAAAATTGAGGTTTAAAAATGGTTGGGTCACTACTGAGAAAAAGCTATGAATGACCAAAAGGCTGGTCTCCGAAGAACAACAAGGAAGACTTAATATTCGCGCATTTTCACGACTCACTTGCAAAATTATGAAGTAATTTGAGTTTCGCAACAACGGCCGCAGATTTTGGGAAACATTTACTGTGGGTATTTGAAAACGTCTTCATATTTTTGTTGTTAAATGCTTATTAAGATATATTTTGCTCTAATCGTGAGAATTGCTGAATTTTCGCCTTGGATTGAAGAAGACAGATCTTAGTGTTGTTTTTAAGCTTTTACTTGTTATTGGGTAATAACTTTAATGTATACGTATTTATTGGGTTAATTGCTTCAGGTAGTTAATAATTGTCTTCATGCTAAAGAAATTTATATTGATATCAAAGATATCATAAATTGGCTTCGTGAATTTCTTATGGGAAAGATTAATGTCTTTTGATATCCATCTTATTCGGCTTAATTATAGAGGTGGATATTGGGATTTCTAAAATAAGACTAGGCAAGTTGAATCTGATTATATTATAAAATTGTCTTTGTCATAATCAATCATATTCTTTTTTCGTTAGTGAGTAGGTTTGCTATTCTGTTTTTGCTCTCCTTTGGCATGCCTACAAGAAGAAACCTAAATTTTTTTGTTTTAATTGTTCATTGTTCTGTATAACAATATTCAGTTAGCTGGTCAGTGGGGTCGTTTTTAATCGAGTATTTTAGATTTGTTTACAAATTTTTTATTTAAAACAAATGTCTCTATACAACCAGTCTCTGTTGTAGATGGTATGCATATGAGTGCCAGTTTTTGTTCGTTTGCTTGTTTCCACAAATTCATTATAGTATGCTTGCCTATTTTATTTATCATTAATTGACTAACCTATTTTGTTTTATATTAACTATATTAAAGGAAAATTTTCCAGAAAATATAGTGTTCTTTTCTCTTGTGTCTGAGGCCTGAACAATAGTTTTTTTTCCTTGTATGCAGTATTCCGCTAAATGCAAATTAGTGAGATCTGTCAGTTTCTGTGATGGATTTATTTTCGTTTTAAATAACATTATCTTAGGAATGTTCCTGAATTAATTGAAGACATAGGCAATGCATTTTTGGTTGCTTAGGTATTGTATTTATATAAAGACCATGAATGTGTGACGTTAATTATACTCTCAGTCTCCTTTAGCTTTATGTCGTTGCTTCTACTTCATTTTAGCAACTTGATCAGGCATAATCCATACCACCGAGTAAAAAATCATCAAAGTAACTCTTGAAGCTGTGTTATTCTTTTTTAATTGTAAGGTCAAATCAATGTTTTAGATTAATAAGACAAATTAATTGGGTTTCTATGATATATTAGTCTTTTTACTTCTTGTTCCTTTATGTAGTTTAAACATTTGAAAACATTTTATATAATTTAATTTCATTTATTCAAAAAGAAGAATTTTCATCAGTTTTTATATATTTTTTCCCTATTATGACACCTGTTTATTTATTAATTGAATGCTGTTTACAGGTGTTGCCCTAAGTTCTCTCATTTTTCGGATTCTTTAAATTTAATTACTTTGTGATAGGGAGTATTAAATGGATACATATATGTGTCTTTTGGGAGCCCGGGTTGTTTAGTGACTCTGTTTATTTTCTAACTTTTCTCTTTTCGTTTTCTGTTTGAAATATAATTTATTTTTAAGTAGCTATAAAGGGTTTATTTATGTCTGGATGCAAGTTTCCAAAAATTTATTTTAACTATGATCTAACATTTTGCTTTATTCTTACTATACTTCAAGTATTCGATGAATGTTTTTTTGTAGCTAAATTCTCCTTATATGATAGTCTAGCAGCGGGTTGAATGACAATTGAGATTTTACAGTTTTCTAACACACAGCCGACTTAGTAAATGGGAGTTAACTTGAATTGACACATTGAAAGATTTGATGTTTTATGCTTGCCATTATAGGGTGTTCATAGCGGGTCCTCCCATAATGGCGGGACAGACTTGGATAATCACGCTAAATGATGTGTACTACTGAAATCAAAAGCACTTTTATCTTCTGCTAGAAGATTGGTCTATGCAAGGTAGGAGAAAGACAGAAATTGAGAAAGATAATTGTAAATTACCCTAGGTCTTCCGGTTCCTCTTTTGAAAGCTTGCTTTGTCCTTGGCACAACTATTTCTTGTAGGTCTCTGAGTTCGATATAGCCCACCAGAGATGGCATGGACTCAATGGCCGCGATCTGGAGTTATTCAAAGAAAAATCCGTCAAAGAAGATAAGTATCTATTTCTAACTAGTAAAATTAATATAAGATGATTTTCAATAAGATATATATATATATATATGCAGTTAAAAAGCCAGAGGTGATCAAAAGTGATCCATAAAAAGATATGTGTTCCGATAGAGATACAGGAAAAGAGAAGGGCTGAAAAAATACCTCTTTTATTTTTCAGAGCGGAATGTTGTCGTACCCTTTATTACGCTTGAAAAAATGGGTGGAAGGGATTTGTAAATTTGTTTCCTTGCGCAGTGAAGAAAGACGTAAATATACATACATGCGTATGTATGTAAATGCATACCTGGCTGCGTATGCTTCCAGTTTTGTAGGCAAACTTAATGATATGAAATCTGACGAAATATAAAGTGAGTAAATAGGCTAACTGCTAAAATTACTTAAATTTAGGTGGAATTTTATTGCCCACTTTGGTCTCAGTCTCGGACACGTCTATGGGGGCCGTGGGTTTCTGGATTGGTGGATATGCAGTTGTGGATACGTCCAAACCCAATGTTTAAGTGCAGTTCTCTCGGGAAATGACAGTTACACTTAGCCATACAGGGCACTAAAATGGGCATCTGATAAGGCTGTGTTTAGGTGTTATGATTCAGTAATGCGTACAGGTGGTAAGGTCCAGCTTAGTGTGATTGTGTGGAGCAACCATGCTTGAAAGTAGAATTATGCACTTGTATCTGTGCACCTGCTATGAGAAGAGAGAGTTCAGTTGGACCACCGGGCTTTCTCGGTCCCCAGATAGTTTGGGTAAGGTGATAGAAAAGAGAAGTCGCCTACCTGAGTGTTGAGGGAGCTCGATTCCAGAGCGGAAAACACCACGGGCAACACGTCCTCCCTGATCCTCGACTCTCTTGCGTATTTGCAGAAGGTCTCAACTTGACTCAGAAGACAAGCCTGTAGCTGCATATATTGAAATAACATCAAATTGTACGGTTATTTTCAAGATGAAGAGCAGGGATAACAAGAAATTAAATGTGTTTGGTAATTGTAAATACTCTAATTGAACATTAAGAATAAAACACTCTGAAAAAGAGTTAATTAAGACAGGCTTGATTTGCATTGGCAGGAAGATACATCTTCTTCCC